AAGTTCAATATCATATCAATGACAGAAATTCAATGACAGAAGACTGAAAGAAATTCTTTAATTAGAAATAGCTGGCAACGGCAACAAACAAGTATAGAACATATGAAAAAGCCCGTTGTCGATAGATTCCTGCGAAAAACAAATTTCAGTACACGCATCAAGTGCAAGAGAAGTTCTAAATTTCATATTTGTTAATATTGGTAGATATTTGCAATTTCCTGCATGACAAAATTCATTTGTTATCATTTTATATGCGTTACAGGTTCCAGCATCTTATACGCGTCATTGATTCATAGTTCAAGCCTTGTATATGTTCTAAAATTCGAGCATTTTATATGTGCTAAAACTCAAGCATTTTACTTGTGTTGTGGGTTCTCAGCTCCATTTAGTGAAATAGTTTATGTAACTTAATTCATTCTCAGTGGAAAAACAAAGCATCACCCGTTCGGAACACTTCGTATTTTTGCATTGGATTTTACTGAAGTAATCGAGGTACTAACTCAGTTCCCATAGTAAACGTATGCAAACACCATAACATAACAAATCCAATAATTTGAAAATTCTGAATGTTCATGATCAAACCGATATTTCTCACTTTTGACACATCTTTGATGACAGTTTCTGCTTAGTAAAAACCAAATGAGCCTGTGATGTGTCGAATTTTGAAAACTCTTAGAAGCTTTAGTTAAAGGAATTATATCAAAGTCAACTTAATTAAAGTAGAAAGGGCTAGAGATAGTTAGATGATTATTTCCATTTCATCTCTGAACGGCAAAAGGGAATTCGTTCTAGCCGACGTAACATGACCGAGTCAGATGCTATGGTACAAGAGAATGACATAAGACCCTTTCCCAAAATCGACCGGTTAAAGGGCAGCAGCTGGTTATAGATGATTGTTCAAAGTAATGATTAATTACGGCATGATTAGTTGTTTAGTTGTCTTGTCAATTCAAAAATTCTACGGAACAGGTTTAGGAACAGTCTATTCCGATTGGTTAATATGGATTTATGGGCGTAACTCTGTAAGAAATTAAAGGTTTTACTTTAGGAAAATTCTTTAGTCTTTAATCTTTCGCGAGGAAAGTTAAACGATTCCGGGATCGTGTAAGACGTTATCTCGTGATTTGGCAGTAAAGCGAGAGTTTTGTCTCATCGAGTAGGCAAGCTCTACATTCTGAATTCGTAAAAAGTACGTTTTCATTATAGAGTAAGGGGCCAGATTGTTGTCTCAGTTAGGAGACGGACTATACGTGAGGTTCGTGGAAACGAATAAAGAAACGGCAAAAGGTACGCAATCTTAGTTTCCCGATTTTAATATGTTATTTCATTTGTTGATCTATTTCAAATGTATTCTTGATATGATGTATGTATGTATGATTTCATTTTGCAGGATTTTAGTGAAATGCTAGTCATGACATTTTATTCTTTGATTTTCTAATTATCAATTCATTTGGAGAATTGGCAAGATTGAATGTAATTAAAATTTCATTAGATTAGTTGAAAAGATTGCATATAATTGAATCTTGAATACATAGGAGTGATTAGGAATTTAAATGAATTAAGCTTAAGGAATGATGGGTAATGTTTCATAGTTTATGGATTAACTCTGTTTAGAATGAGTATGACCTAACATTACATGTATACCATATACTAGTTTGTAATATTTAATTGATCACTTAAGTGTATATCTATATGCTAGTTTGTAATATTTAATTGGTCGAGTAAACTATTTTAGAATAGTTAGATCTGAGGGTCTAAGCCATATGTAACTTAAGACTGCTAGATTGGTAGAGTAAGCAGTCAAGTGGGGTTTACATACGGGTTTATACGGCTGAGTTGAATTTAATTGACCATCCCTAGCGTGATCTGAATTAAGGTCAGGACAAGCATGGACCGTTTATGTAAACATAACAGCTAGGGAGCAATGAGTTTCTGCGGCAGAATTTATGCCTTTTGATTTCTGAGCCGAATTAATGTAAAAATATAGATATACTTGGGAATGTGATCTATTGTCTATTGCGAGACATTTTATTTATTGAAGGAACCAGCTTTCCTGGATTCACATGAAAAATCCCTGAATAATCACAGGATCAGAACAAGTTCTACGCAGAAATCTAAGTCCAGAGACGATTAGTAAGTCAGAGTTCGACGGACAAGAGTCCAAGACGAAACAGCTAGACAAAGATCGGCAGAACAAGGACGAACGGAAGTCTTGATGTCCGCATAAATTAGGTGATGAAGTCTCTCATCGTTGCACTCAAAGGTCACATCTCATTGGCAATGAAGATAGTAATTTAACGTTGAAAGTAATTTTACATTTAAAGAAATTTGTATTGTCTTTTTATTTGAGTACATGTTAGTACCATTTTCCTTCTTTTGTAACCAAGTCATTGATTTCTCTTCATTTTAAATTCTGTTGATAAACTGATTAAATTTTATATTTGTTCATTGAAAGGGGGATCGTTTTGTTATTTCTTCAATATACTTGTTCAGTGATCTGCATTCTTCTTTCTATCTATCCTCACTGGGAAAAGTACACCGCGGAGGTCATTCTTTAGCAACGAACCGTAGTGAAAGAGGTTGGTCACAGAGCCGCGGCATTTTCTTGATCTTCAGTTTTTAAAACATGTGCAATCAATTCCGAACCAATGAGTTATGTGCTATTTACAGCACCAAGTTTTTCAAACTAAAGTCTGCTAAAGGACTTAAATTTCGTCAAAATATAACGTCTCTGTTTCTTTTTCAATTACAACTAGAATAAGAAAATAATCAGTTTACTAAAATCTTATTTTCATTATCAACCAATCCTGACCACCAAACTCGTATATTCTCTATTTTATCATCACCCATTTCTAAACTATTCCCAATCTTCCATGTTATTAGTACAGTGACATACTGACACCTTTACTTTTCCCCATTCCAGATATGGACTTTAACATAAAAACAATGAACAAAACGAAGGATCCCATACAGATAAGAACCTCGGTACTAACCTACTCAGAGAACAACTACATTGGTTATACTCTAATCTAAATGAACGCATCAAAGATGAAAATCTCTAACAAAATGACGATGGGAACAGACATCCCAAAACTCAATATATCTTTTGGAAAAAAGACTGCCTGACGGATGTTCAATATGCACCGTAGAATTTATGGCAATATTAGCAACCCTCCACTACACACTACACGAGACACTACCCAATCCAAAAAGCATTATTACTTAGGCCCTGGAATCAGATTAATCCAGAAGCAGATCAAATATGGTAAACCATGTAAGATATGTGCTTAAGTAAGTCCAACAAGAACAAAAGAGTTATATTCGTATGGATACCACCCCACAAACCTATATCGGGTAATGAACAAACAGACATATCCAAAACCATTGCTTAAAAGTCACAGGAAAAAACATCATCCGGTACAAAATCAGCTCCAGGTGGCAGAATTGTTGGAACAGCTCATCCAAGGGCAGATCACTGTATCACACATAGAAAAAATTAAGCAGAAAAATCACATAGTACCCGACCTTCCAAAATTCATACGACATGACCTTGATTAACAGGCCAGACCCTGTTAAGGAAAGCTCAGGCAAGTATAAAAAAAACAACAATAAAGTCCGAACTGTCCACACTGTCAGACACCGGAAACAATTTAACATGTACTCAACGTATGCCCAAAATATAAACAATAGAGAATAAAATTCAGATAGATCCAAGGAAAAAATGGCGCACCATGCACATATCCAGAGTAATTTGAACTAGCAAAGAAAAACGTGAAAACCACATAAAAGAATCAATTTTATATGTGAAAAAGGAGGGAAATTTAATGTAATTATTCCTTAACCAGAGCAGTCTTAGCAAAGATAGATGATTCTTATAACAATTATTAGAATTAGTAAGAAATAAGTAAACTCTCTTCACATTCCCTTGCCAGAGTGAAACAAATAGAGGTTGAAAGACACAACCTTATAGCTACGACTAAAACAGAAACAGTGACGGGGGAAAATATCATTAAAAAGAAAGGACGGTATCCCAGTAAGTCCTACATCAAACCAAAACAAGTAATCCTAAGTAATCATATGACCCACCCCATCCCCAGCTACGACAAAAATAATCGGAGTGTTCTAAATGTACAGCTCAATAGCAATGATTCAAGCATAACAGTGACATGGGAAGCACAACATTAAACTAACAAATTATTGTAATACTATCGACAAAACACACGCCTAAAGATTCCAGCAGAACCTCGATTAGAACCAAGAATAAAAAAGCTATCAAATATCACAGAGATAATGCACGTTAAATTAGCACAAATATTACCTATCGATTATATCAAAGAATAGGTACAATAAAATATGAGATCATCCAAATTAAGCTATAAATTAGGCGAGGTTCCTATGGCAACTGAAATTTATAAAGAAGAGAACAACAGGGCGAATAGTAAAGATATAAAGATCAGAACACGAGCAGAAACTGGAACAACACTAAACAGAAAGACTGAGGGAAACCAATAACATACATAACTAAGATCAGGAAACAAGAAGCATCACAGAAAGACAAAGAAGACAAAACAAAATTAGCAGAAATAAAGAAGATCTGGAACAGCCGCAACACATGGAACAAAAGTACAGGGCTGAAATACACTTTCAAAGAAGAACATCAAAAGAAGCAAGCAATGGATGAAATAAATGACGACATAAAATAATTATCCTAACCAATCAAACAAATAAATCACTGAAACCCGAAAGTACCGTGTGTGTGTGTGTGTGTGTGTGTGTGTGTGTGTGTGTGTGTGTGTGTGTGTGTAATTTCGATTATTAACGTAGCTTTAAAATTGTTCAGTCATATTGCTTTAGGATATCTGCAGTGTGGCAGTTTATAGTGATGTCTAGCAATAGGGCATCATACCGCAGACATGTAACATGATGTCCCATCCAATAACCTCTTAATTCTGAGCGCCAAGCGAGGCAGCTGTTAGTACCATTTTTGTACGTTTTTGGTATGACTCGGCCGGGGATCGAACCCACGACCTCCAGCACCCGAGACGGACGTTTTAACCACTAGGCCACCTGAGTATAGAAAAAAATGCCATTCCACAGTCAATAATATCAGAACCCCAACCGAATCACCCGATCCTGGCCTCCTAAGGAACATAAAAAATATAACACAAATACAATACAGCATAGAGAGAACATCTACATCAATAACAAGCAGACAGTACATCACATGCATCTACCATCACCACCACCCAAATATCCCCCCCGCACTCCACCTACCCCGCAAACATTTACATAATAGGGCTTTCATTTTGACCAACGAAAGCCATATTCAGAGCAAAACTTGACTGGCACGGATAGGATACCGATTGGTTCTGTTACAAACTCGTGCATCAAAATTAAGATGGCCAAATTCAAAGGTTGTTGTAAGCAAAGACGATTCCACAAGTCTTTCGGAAATTCAAGTACGAAAATACATGAAAAATAATACAATTTTATATATATATATATATATATATATATATATATATATATATATATATATATATATATATATATATATATATATATATATATATTTAAGGAAAATTCTTAACTCAATAACACTTTGAATAGGACGTGACTATCACATGTTGGAGGTAATTATGGACCACCCCACAACATAGGATTGGGGGGGGGCATATATTTGGAGTTAATGCTGCTGGTGTACAAGGTCACGGTCTTCACAGATGGAGTACAGGCAGTGTAGTCAGGGCACATCTGCTTTCGGTGGCTTGCCCTGGCGTCTTGATAACAACAGTTAAACGCACAAATTAAATAGCTCGCAAACGCGGACAACCATCTAGGCGAATATACCTATGGGCGATAGACGACTTAAAGAAGAATGAGCCATATTCCACAAAACTGAACATCTCAGACCTAGAATTCCTGTTTCACAGAAACCACAAAGCTTCTGAATGGTTTATAATATAACGCTGACCTCCCAGAGGGATTTGAAAATCGTAAACAACTTCCTTTGAAATCAAGTGCCATATGGCACTGTTTATAAATCTTCCGGTATAACATAAACGATTTTCAAGACTCCATGAATGTTAATTCTCTATTAGGCCGCAAATTTAACAGTAAAATAATGAAGCCAACCTGTTTCAAACACTCGAATTTTTCCACACCCATTTGTATGTAAAAGTAATTTTTTTGACTTGGAGTGTTAACGAGAGTAGATAGTTTTACATATCACATAAAATATATGTTTCTTCTAAAGCCCTGTGTCCCGTATCATGAATTACTCCTTGGAAATATTACAAACATGGTGTAAATGTTTCTTCTGAAGCCCTATGTGTCCCGTGTCATGAATTACTCCTCGAAAATATTACAAACATGGTGTAAATGTTTATTCTAAAGCCCTATGTGTCCCGTATCATGAATTACTCCTCGGAAATATTACAAACATGGTGTAAATGTTTCTTCTAAAGCCCTATGTGTCCCGTATCATGAATTACTCCTTGGAAATATTACAAACATGGTGTAAATGTTTCTTCTAAAGCCCTATGTGTCCCGTATCATGAATTACTCCTCGGAAATATTACAAATATGTTGTAAATGTTTCTTCTAAAGCCCTATGTGTCCCGTATCATGAATTACTCCTCGGAAATATTACAAACATGGTGTAAATGTTTCTTCTAAAGCCCTATGCGTCCCGTATCATGAATTACTCCTTGTAAATATTACAAACATGGTGAAAATGTTTCTTCTAAAGCCCTATGTGTCCCGTATCATGAATTACTCCTTAGAAATATTACAAACATGGTATGCATGTTTCTTTTGAAGCCCTATGTGTCCCGTATCATGAATTACTCCTCGGAAATATTACAAATATGGTATAAATGTTTCTTCTGAAGCCCTATGTGTCCCGTATCATGAATTACTCCTCGGAAATATTACAAACATGGTATAAATGTTTCTTCTGAAGCCCTGTGTCCCGTATCATGAATTACTCCTCGGAAATATTACAAATATGGTATAAATGTTTCTTCTGAAGCCCTGTGTCCCGTATCATGAATTACTCCTTGGAAATATTATAAACATGGTGTAAATGTTTCTTCTTACGCCCTGTGTCCCGTATCACATGAATTACTCCTTGGAAATATTACAAATATGGTATGAATGTTTCTTTTGAAGCCCTATGTGTCCCGTATCATGAATTACTCCTCGGAAATATTACAAACATGGTATAAATGTTTCTTCTGAAGCCCTGTGTCCCGTATCATGAACGACTCCTTGGAAATATTACAAACATGGTATAAATGTTTCTTCTAAAGGCCTATGTGCACCGTATCATGAAAGACTCCTTGGAAAATATCGCAGTATTTAAATTAATGAAATATCGATGTTTCTGCCAACTTGAGGCTGATGATTTACCGATCTTAACGTATACTTAAGTGCCCAAAGACTGTAATAGCACTGCATAAGTATGGGTTGATGTGAATCTTTTGAACAACTTTTAATTAAATATCTGTCCTCAAGTATGAGTCATTGCATAGATCTGTCCCAAGGTATGGGTCACTACATAGATCTGTCCCAAAGTATGGGTCACTACATAGATCTGTCCCAAAGTATGGGTCACTACATAGATCTGTCCCAAAGTATGGGTCACTACATAGATCTGTCCCAAAGTATGGGTCACTACACAGATCTGTCCCAAAGTATGGGTCACTACACAGATCTGTCCCAAAGTATGGGTCACTACATAGATCTGTCCCAACGTATGGGTCACTACACAGATCTGTCCCAAAGTATGGGTCACTACACAGATCTGTCCCAAAGTATGGGTCACTACACAGATCTGTCACAAAGTATGGGTCACTACACAGATCTGTCACAAAGTATGGGTCACTACATAGATCTGTCCCAAAGTATGGGTCACTACACAGATCTGTCCCAAAGTATGGGTCACTACACAGATCTGTCCCAAAGTATGGGTCACTACACAGATCTGTCCCAAAGTATGGGTCACTACACAGATCTGTCCCAAAGTATGGGTCACTACATAGATCTGTCCCAAAGTATGGGTCACTACATAGATCTGTCCCAAAGTATGGGTCACTACACAGATCTGTCCCAAAGTATGGGTCACTACACAGATCTGTCCCAAAGTATGGGTCACTACATAGATCTGTCCCAAAGTATGGGTCACTACATAGATCTGTCCCAAAGTATGGGTCACTACACAGATCTGTCCCAAAGTATGGGTCACTACACAGATCTGTCCCAATGTATGGGTCACTACACAAGATCTTCCCTGTGTATGGGTCATTATGTAAATATGTCATTACACTGACCTGTCTCAAAGGATGGGTAATTATATTGGTCTATCCCAAAGTATGGTTTATTACACAAGATCTGTCCCATGTATGGCTCATTACGTAGACATGTTCCATGTATGGGTCGTTACAATGATCTGTCCCAAAGTATGGTTTATTACACAAGATCTGTCCCATGTATGGCTCATTACGTAGACATGTTCCATGTATGGGTCGTTACAATGATCTGTCTCAAAGAATTGTTATTACACAAGATCTGTCCCATGTATGGCTCATTACGTAGACATGTTCCATTTATGGATAATTATATTGGTCTCCCAAAGTATGGGTCATTATATTGGTCTGTTCCAAAGTAGGTCATAACATATATCTGTCCCAAATATGGGTCATCACATTGACCTTTCCCAAGTATAGGTCATGACATAGATCTGTCCCAGTAATGAAATATTATGTTGATCTGTTCCAAAACTATGGGTAATTGCGTAAGATCTTTTCCAAATTATGAGTCATTTGAATTGAAATCCCAAAATATGGGCCATTACAAAGATCTGTCGTATGTATGGGTACTATGTATATTTAATTTGAATTGTTTGCTGGCTTTTCTCAGTTATTTTATGGTATGTATGTTCGTATGTTATGACTGACCTTTGTCCAAAATCAAGTTATTGGTCTACCTGACTATTGACATTTGTTTTGTAAAGAACATAATTCATAGTTAATATTAATCTGTGATAATAGATTAAATATTCAGAAAATTATTGTTGAAGGCAAACGTGTCTTTTTGTATCTGAAAGTAGGTCTACCTGACTACTGACATTTGTTTTGTAAAGAACATAATTCATAGTTAATATTAATCTGTGATTATAGATTAAATATTCAGAAAATTATTGTTGGAGACAAACGTGTCTTTTTGTATCTGAAAGTAGGACATTAAGTTTCACTTGAAAATTCCTGATCTTTTTAACAACATTGAATATGTTAGAAAAGAAACTGATCTACATCCTGGCCCTGTTATTGTGTCTTAGCTTTTTATATTAATCTTGTTTTCTTCAAAATGACTCATTTATAAATTAAGTTCTGAAATGGAATCAGTCTTATCGTTCTGTTCAGTTTTTAATTTGGGTGGACTTATTTATTTAAATTATTCACTGGAATTACAAAGTATTTATTAATACTTCTTGGACTGTCATTATCTGTTAAGTACTGTGAATTCATTTAAGAACTTTTGTTATTATGTTATTATGTTCCATCAAGACTGTTAACACATCAGTACATTCCATACCATTGACATATTTGCACATTCTAGACTGCGTGCACATGAGCACATTCAATATTGACATTTGTATGGAACACCAATGGAATTTTTTTTAGAAGTCTATAAATTTCGATTTGCGGTAGAACTTATGACTACTTGGGATTAAATTTGCAGTGCTGGAAGTTTTTTTAAAGTTTCACCTTGTATTCTAGAGAAATAAAGTGTGTTGGTTTTCGCTTTTTTCTGTTACTTTTTGAGACCATACAGTTATAACAATGGGTCATTATAAAGTTCAGTCCTCAAATATAGGGCTTTGTACAAGCTCTATCCCAACATGTGGGTCGTTAAATAGATATATAAAAAGTATCAAAATATTGGAAAACATTTCGAACATCATTTTAACTAAGTAGCTGGAAAAGTTCTGTTTTTATAGTTCTTATAAAATTATACTTAATATTGAAAATGAAAAAAAAAAATCTTGCTGATACAGAAATATATATGGTTTTAAGTTGTGTTATTATGGCGTTGTTGCGTCAACAGTACCTTGTTGGATTTTATGAATCAAGAATAATATTCCGACTTTAAAATTCCAAATAATTTCCACGGAATGTCTTTGTCCAAGAAACTCAATTCAAATGACCACAACAAGAATACATATATCCCGAAAGTATATTTTTACGACTGACAAATCTACTAGAAAACGTCTGGTTTAACCTACAATTTTAGATCACATGATGGCTCATGTGATGGTGCTACGTGATCACTAATTTGAATAGCGCAGGAAACAAAATGCCATCTCACTCGTAGGATAGAATAGCCCTATCTAAAAATCAGATTCTCACTCTGTAAATGAGTAAACAAGAAAGGCTTTTAATAACATAGCTATAACACCTGGGTCGAATATGACCTTGGAAATTCCCAATCATTTTAATCCAGTGTTTACCAATCTCTCAACCAAGTTAAGCTAAAAATAGTAATAAAGCAACATCTTTACGTTCTAATCAGGTCAAAACAGAGAAATGAATTTATTGAGAAAATGTCAAATCCAGTAAACATCACTACAACAAAAAGTAATGAAACAAAAATAAACAAGGAATTTAAAACTAACACACAAGCAATTAAATTATAAATAGGTAACAACGCACACACACACACGCATATATATATATATATATATATATATATATATATATATATATATATATGCATGCCTACCTACCTACCTACCTATACATACATACATACATACATACATACATACATACATACATACATACAGACATACAGACAGACAGACAGACATACAGACAGACAGACAGACAGACAGACAGACAGACAGACAGACATACATACAGACAGACAGACAGACAGACATACATACATACATACATACATACATACATACATACATACATACATACATACATACAGACAGACAGACAGACAGACAGACAGACATACATACATACATACATGCATACATACAGACAGACAGACAGACAGACAGACAGACATATATACATACATACATACATACATACATACATACATACATACATACATACATACATACATACATACATACATACATACACACATACATACATACATACATACATACATACATACATACATACATACATACATACATACATACATACATACATACATACATACATACATACACTGTGGACTACACAGAATTTGATGTTTGCATAAGCAATCATTGAGTGTGAAAACTGTACAATTGACAAAGTCAACGTGCTTCTTGAAGACAATGTAGAACCAGAGTCCATGGATACTTGTATGGGTTTTTTGTGCAAAATCTTCCTTAATTATTCGCTGTGGAAGGTTTACTGAACTAACCTATTGTCTATGATATGTTTGGTAAATGTAAACATCGTAACTAGCGAATGCGTATATTCTTCTTTCTCGAGGGTTTTGGTAGGAGATTAAGGTTGAATATAATGTTGGTTTTGTAACTGATTTTCGTAGTAGTAGTGATATGAAACTAGTAAACCTTTACATACATATATGTATGACAAGTGTGTAAAATATGCCATTTTCACTGTGCTCATTTAAAAGTCAGAGGTGGACATTGCTATATTTGTTTGGAGTTGTAACTTGCAAACGTTTAAACATAAAAATTTGTGTAACTGCACATCCTGATAATATGCTGTCCATAATCATTTTTATGGACTTACTTGTAAAAGGCAGGTCGAACTTGTTTCATTCGTAACTCGTGGTACGTTCATCAAAGATTAAAATTATCTATTTTTATGTCCAGCCTGTTGTTCACGAATTCTCATGGATTGTGACAAAAAAAAAAACAACTTTATTTCTGAATCGTGACCTAAGTTCATATCACATATCTCAGTTCTCTTTCAAAATCAATCTCACTGCTACTTTCTTATGATTTATTGGCTGTAACTTGAAGCCATTAAAAGAAGTAACCTCTCCGGCTAGTGGTTAGGGCGTTCGCCTAAGATGCGGGAGGTCGTGGGTTCGATCCCCGGTCGAGTTATACCAAAGACTTACTAAAATGGTACTCACAGCTGCCTCGCTTAGCGCTCAGAATTAAGAGGCTAGTGTTAGGACTGGCCGACCTGGTGTCAGGATAATGTGACTGGGTGGGACATCATGCTACATGTCTGTGGCATGATACCTCAGTGCTAGACATCACTATAAACTACCACACTACAGACATCGTAGCGATATGACTGAAAAATTGTTAAAGCTACATTAAAAATCATAATCACATTACATTTACAATTTTGCATTTTGCCAGTATGAATATATTTGATGTCAAGTATTGAACTATAAACCAAAAATTTAGAAAGATTAAAAAATGTTCTTATATTCATGATAATACGAAATGCTTCATATGTAACTTTCATGGTTCTATCTTAATTATGAACGTATTTAAGTTTTGCATTCAAGCTGTAGCTCTGAAGCTTTTTTAAGATATTTGGAAGAATGCATGTATATGATACACAGAATGCGTTGCATACCATATTATGGTCAAGCCAAGAACACTTATAGTGTCATGTTAAATTATGATTGAATTATTTATGCACAGTCGTCTTGAAATAGGTCAATACATTGGGACCACTTAATAAACAACCAAAGGCATTTTAATGAAATTTTAACTAATTTATGTATCACCATTAGCGATGCCAAATCAATGACTTCTTTTCAAAGCTGAAATTTAAGTCACTGCCAGGGAAAATGTAAATGTGCAACCACTGTTGATGTGCATTTAAAACATTTCAGCTGATGAAAGTATTTTCATGCAACTTTATTCGGCTGTATATCTAGGCTGTATATCTAGGCTGCATAGTTTCTGACATATTCATGTTCATATTCTCTGCCATCAGGGTTAAGGTCAAAAACAAGGATATTCAGTGCACCGTTTTCTTATCTTGTCTGGCACTTTTTCATTACCTCATATACTTGGATCGGTTTTTTATCCAGCTCCACACTGATACTCTTGATACTTAAAGTGGCATAGGATTTACCGTGTGGTACTCTTGTTACTTAAAGTGGCTTATAATATACCGTGTGGTACTCTTGTTACTTAAAGTGGCTTATAATACACCGTGTGGTACTCTTGTTACTTAAAGTGGCTTATAATATACCGTGTGGTACTCTTGTTACTTAAAGTGGCTTATAATATACCGTGTGGTACTCTTGTTACTTAAAGTGGCTTATAATATACCGTGTGGTACTCTTGTTACTTAAAGTGGCGTATAATATACCGTGTGGTACTCTTGTTACTTAAAGTGACTTATAATATACCGTGTGGTACTCTTGTTACTTAAAGTGGCTTATAATATACCGTGTGGTACTCTTCTTACTTAAAGTGGCTTATAATCTACCGTGTGGTACTCTTGTTACTTAAAGTGGCTTATAATACACCGTGTGGTACTCTTGTTACTTAAAGTGGCGTATAATATACCGTGTGGTACTCTTGTTACTTAAAGTGGAATAAAATGTACCGTGTGGTGCTCTTCTTACTAAGAGCCTTGGTGTTGTACCATATCTCATTGCTTTGTTGCCATCTAAAGGATCTTTACCATTAACTCATGTGACACCAAAATGAAATAGTAGGGACTTTGAATATTTGCAACTTAGCCACCTTGTCTCGTAGGATTTTTATCAATATTTACATGTTGCTTATCTGAAGATTTCACTTGTAACATAACTTTCCATTCATTTCAATATCACACAGATGTTAGTACCAAAGAACTCTTCACATCAACATATTTATGACATAGGCTTAGAGTTTTGAGTGGTGTTCCAACTGCTGGAGCCTCGTAGAGTGTTAGACGTAACACAAAAATATCATACATTATTTATTTATCGTATGTTTGCAGGAACTTATCAAGTGACAGAATTTTAGTGTCCATAACAATCTGATCAAAAATATACTTCGAGATTTTACGAAATAGTTATATTTGTTTAATCATTCCTGGAATACTTTTTAGGCAAGTTCCATTTTTGACAGCTTGACCAAAATCAGGTACAACAATATATTTTTTCAGATCTCCACCAAGAAAACACTTGTCAAATTTTATTTAAAGAATTGGAAGAAATAATGTCATTTCAAATTCTACAAACAACAAAGGTATCTTGGTCCCATGACAGCCAGGTGAGAAATCTAATATTCACACCTACTTTAAAACTATTTCGTTTGACGTTATAAAATTTTAATGAAGAGTACAGCTCAATATGTTTTAGATAATGTCGTTTCGCATGACCTCCAAATCATCCAAGTATATTTAATATCAACCAGGTGGAAATTGATTTAAATATTTTAAAACTATGACGACAATTTCATTCAAACCTCACAAATAAAAGAAAAATATTGTGCATTTGCGACAATTGCTGTGTGTATGGAGAACAAATATCTGTCTGCTAAATGACCAACCAATTATTTTGGCAGAGTAGGTTGTAACACTTTGGATTTATTTTCAAAAACTTTTTTTTTCATTACCTCAGCACATTTAGTTCTATTTATTTATTGCAATTGGATATAATAAGTTATTTGTCCAAACACTCATAGTAATCTTTTTCAAAGCTATATGAAGGTTTGTAAACTTTTAGTTTGGGGGTAAAATACTCCAGCCCCACATTCGAAGTTATAAGGGTAATCTTCGAGTTTATTGCAACCAGACGAAAACTATTTAAAACATGTTTAACCTGCTGATTACTATTTTTTTTAAAAAAAACTTATTTCAATCTCATTATTCCTAATGAGCCGCAATTAGTTCTTTTATGGTATGTTCCTTTCACCCTCTAAAATTCACTTTATTGTTTGGGTGATTTAATGAATTATTGAAATATGTGCTTTAATTCTTTCATGCCATTCAGTTCGCGGTATATGGAATTTACTTTGTCCATCATTGTGCATCCATCTATCTGTTCATGTAAAATAAAACCTTCTTTACAGCTTCAGTCATTAGCATGAAACTTGCACTATGAATGAATTGAAGATGAGTATTTTTGTACCAAATATAAATAAAAAATAGAATCTTATCTTTTATTTTGAGAGAGAGAGAGAGAGAGAGAGAGAGAGAGAGAGAGAGAGAGAGAGAGAGAGAGAGAGAGAGAGAGAGAGAGAGAAAGAGAGAGAGAGATGTAGTTGTAACGTAATCATTCAGTCGGTAAGAGTTTAAGAAGCCCCTTCCTAGCCAATCCCATTACAAAACAAATTACTTTCTTTATCCGCTGCTCTAAAACTGCCTTACTTCAATGATAGTAGATTACATAAAGTCGAGAAAATGCGGATTACATAGACGATTACGAACTTTAATGTCTAAGCTACAATTTGTAAGTGTAGTTGGGTCTCTATCTCATGATCACGGAATCAGTCATATCATGTTGAGCACACCTTAGCGGTGATCTAATTAAGCCCTATGGCACTGTTATAGAATTTCAGCATTTCCTGGCAAAAAAAAAATTGTTTGCATTCGAAGCATCTTGTTAATCCACAAACTAATAAAAAAAAAGTGTTGCCGAAAGTTCTAGAATACAACCAATTCATCCGCCCTAGCAATGTATCCGTATACTCTGTGGCTGTGATAATGCACTGACGAATAAAGACGCCGTCGTGATACACTTCTGAAGGAGCACAGCATACAAATTTTGCCATATCTTCCATGTAACTATGTTCCAGATTCAAGTAGTTTTTAGCTGAATCCCTTTATCAAACGTTTGCTGAGAGGCAAACGATTAAAAAAAAGCCGCCATACGGCCGGAAGTGCATATTTGTAATGTAAGAAAACATAACAATAAGTGAATACAAAATGGCATTTATTAATTGGATAATTGAATAGATTCCTGGTGAGTTCCTTAGATGAATGCACTGTTTTTTTTTTATTTCCAAATGCACTGGATTCACATCAAGATCCTGCTTGTCAGAGAATGGTTCATATATATAAATAAACAAAATGCGTGCACATGTTGCAGAGCTATCTATATTATGCTTTCTATGTGGCATTTGATGAATGCATGTTTGTATTCTTATTTAGAAAGAATAAATGAAAGTTGAAATAATCGTATGACTTATAATTATGCGTGATCAAATGATAAAACAACGTAATCACTACAGATCAAATGATCAAACAATATGATCCAAGGATACACGTGTATTTTGAAAATCAGAAAAAAAAATATTTAAACGTTTCGTAAATAAATTTGAAAACTGGAACTGACAGATGTTTGGCAACAGACAGATTTTATCAAGCGCATGGTATATGATGTTACGTATATTTAAGTTGTATTGTTTTTAGGCTTTTCTCTTTGATTATATGTTGTTTTTTATTCTTGTATTTTGTAATTGACCTTAGTCCAAAAAATCCAGATCATGATCTGCAGTGACTTAGGTGTAACCAAGTCGTCGGGCTTCAGAAATATCGGATAATCTGGACCAGAAACCTTCCATCTGAAGCTGCAAGAAGAAGTGAACTAAAACAGCTTGAAAATTATCACTTGTTTCCAGGTGTTCGAAAAATTACAAATAAAATCTGATATTATGTTGACATTGTAGATTCCACACCCGTAAAAAAAAAAATCATTCATATGGGACGAATCATCTCAATCAGGAATGTTTGAATATTGGCTGGGGAATGGTTTTTAAAAGTGACTGGAGTTCACCATATATCCTTGTGCCGAAACTAGACAATACTTTCCGCATGTGCGCTGATTATACAATGTGAACTGTGTGACTAAAACAGACTAATTTCCACTGCAAAGAAATCGATGACTACATTGACACAGTTGGAAATGCAATATATGTCACCAAGTTTGACATTTTGAAAGGATTCTGGTAAATACCAATCTCGGAAAGGCTAAAGAAGATTTCGCAACTTCAAATGTATTTTATCAATATAAAGTGATGATTTTGGGATGAAAGGTTCGCATTGAACTTGTCACTGTATAATGAACATGATTATATATGGTTTAGATAATTGAGAGGCATACATGGATGACGTCATCGTTTACGATACCTGGAACAATCACTTGGAA